GGCAAGTAATGGGAGACGAGGCCTCTGGGGAACAGGAGCTGTAACTTCAGAGTGTAGCCCTTTTGAAAGCAGAAGGGACCTAAATCACTGAGCAGGCAGGTGGCTTCATGCCAGAGGCAGATGACCCAGTAAGAGAGGCAGAGAACCTGCAAACAAGTCTGGCTCCTGAGTGACAGCCCCCTCTGCCGAGCACACCCATACATGTCTCAGAGACAAAGGCCCATAGGGCAGCAGCCCCATTGCATGTATTATATTCAGGAATGAAGAAGCTTCTCCGGTATCATACAAAATGAAATGGGGAGGGGGAGGGAGGTGCCTTACAGAAGTGAGAGAAAATTCCCATTAGATGAATTGTAAGATTCCCTCTAGATTTCCTTGCTGACACACCTCTACGGTTTAGTGCAGGTTGGTCTGGTGTCCCATGAGCAGTTCTCAAACATGAGCATAAGATGCCTAACTCTAAGGATTCTTCCAAGTGGCTTAATGGCTCAGAATATTTTGACCAGGCCAGTTTCATGGTGCATATGGTGGGGAAAGTAGCACTTACTAGGCCCTTTCCCTCTCGCTGATGCATTCAGCAGGAGGGCTTACTATGTACCAGGCCCTAACCAGCTGAGAGCAGAAACAGACACAGACCTATTCTCCTGCAGCTTCCAAGTCCCGGCCACTTACACACCAACCTGGTGGTCTTCGGGTGATTTTTTTTCCTTCCTTTTTTCTTCCTACTGCAATGAACATATGTTACTTCAATAAAGCACAAAATAAAACCCTTTATTTTTAAAAATATTTTTATTGATTTCAGAGAGGAAGGGAGAGGGAGAGAGAGATAGAAACATCAATGATGAGAGAGAATCATTGATCAGCTGCCTCCTGCACATCCCACACTGGGGATCAAGGAAGCAACCCAGCCACATGCCCTGACCAGGAATTGAACCGTGACCTCCTGGTTCATAGGTTGATGTGCAACCACTGAGCTATGCCAACTGAGCTAAAACCCTTTATTTTTAACAATATTACCTTTATCTGCTGATTTGTGTCCTAAATCCCTTCTGAAGGTGTTAGTCACAAAAACTGGGAATGGTTATACTCTACGCTACGTATTATTCTGAGTATAATCAGGAGACAGAAACGACACAGTAATTTAAGCACAGGAAGCTTAATACAAAGAGGCATTAAGCTATGAACCAAGAGTAAATATAAAGATAAAAAGAGAACTCTCACCCAGTGGGTGTGGCTCAGTGGTTGAGCATCAACCTATGAACCAGGAGGTCATGGTTCAATTCTCAGTCAGGGCACATGCCGGGGTTGTGGATTGCAGGCTTGATCCCCAGTACAGGGTGTGCAGGAAGCAGCCAATCAATGATTCTCATCAATCATTGATGTTTCAATTTCTCTATCCTTCTCCCCCTCTGAAATCAATTACAAAATATTTAAAAACTAGTCTATGGTAATCTCTCTCTGCTTTCCAAATCTGAAATCACTAAAAATATATATTATAATAATAATAAATAAAGAGCCCTGGCTGGTTTTGTTTAATGGTTAGAGCATCAAACCTGCTGACTTGGAAGGGGAGCCCCTCGTAAAGGCTGGAGTTCAGACCTCATTGGAGAAGATGTGATTGCAGCGCATAGGGACAACATAGAATTTTGTCTGGGGAATAGTTGTTCCATAGTTGCCAGGCAAGCAGGAAATAATCTTCAAGGGAGGGATGAGGCTGGTGAGAGGGCGTCACAGCACAAGGCTTAGAGCATGTGGTGTCTGCCTCAAGAAGGCTCAGTGGGGAAGGTGCTCATTAGGCTTGGCTCTGGGCTGCAAGGTCACCAAGGGACTGCTCTAGGCACACAGCTGGGGTAGGATGCCACAGGATGTGCCCACACACTTGCACCTCCCATCATGCAGCAGGAGCAAGAAAAAGCAAAAAGCACCGCACACAGGAACAAGAAAGAGAAGCACCCTCCTCCTGCAACGTCGCTCCGGCTCCCTCTACTGGCCAACCTTAGCATCGTGCTCACTGGCAAGTAGAAAATGCCTACAATCCTTTATCCCAGAGCAGGTAAAGAGTGAATTCGGAGGTTTAAGAAAATAGAGAACTGCCACAAGCTGTTATCAGTAATTAGAACAGGTATTGGTAATACTTTTCTGTAAAGAACCTGATAGTAAATATTCTAAGCTTTGGGAGTCATACAATCTTTGTCAAAACTCTTTAATTATGTCATTTTTTTTCATGAAAAGCAGTATAGATAATATGCAAACAAATAAGCATGACTGTGTTCCAATAAAATTTGATTTACAAACAGCTAGTGGATGTGGCCCATAGTTTACCAACTTCTGATTTAGAACTTTGGAGTGAATAATCTCTATTCTGTGAATAGAATTATATTAAGAAGGGGAATGGAACATAAGTGCAGAGCTGAGGTGGGTGGTGGGAGATGATCAAAAGGAATTTAAATGATAGTAATTCCTACACTAGATAAGGTGTTTTGTGGGGTTTTTGTCCAAAATAAGTGAGTGCTATGGACTGAATGTTTGTCTCCCCCGTCCCCCCATTTATATGTTGGAGCCCTAATCCCCAGAGCAATGGTATTTGGAGATGAGACCTTTGGGATGTGACTAGGTCATGAGGATAGAACCCTCATGATGTATTGTGTCCTTACAAGAAAGGCAGGCGAGAACTTGCTATCTCTCTGGTTTCCTCCATGTGAGGATACAACCAGAAAATGGCCGTCTGCAAGCCAGAAAGTGAGTCCTCACCAGGCATCAGATCTGCCCGCCCCTTGATCTTGGACTTCCCAATCTCCAGAACTGTGAGAAATAAAGTGTTGTTTAAGCCAGTCAGTGCATACTTTGTTACAGCAGCCCAAACTGACTGCGAGCTATTATATTAAAGGATCTAACAGGGTTCTTAGTAAATTGTTATTTCTAGGGGTGTATCTCGATCTATATTATTCATTCCTCCTTTGAGAAGTTGAGGCTCCGAGGGGCTAAGAAACTTGCCTCAAAACACACAGCCTGGCTGAGCTGGCATTTGAACGACTAGTGTGTATAACTCTTTTAAAAAATATATATATTTCTTTATTGATTTCAAAGAGGGAGAGAGAGAAACATCAATGATGAGAGAGAATCATTGATCGGTTGCCTCCTGCACGCCCCCTACTGGGGATTGAGCCCACAACCCAGGCATGTGCCCTTGGCCGGAATCGAACCTGGGACCCTTCAGTCCGCAGCCAACGCTCTATCCACTGAGCCAAACCGGCTAGGGCTAGTGTGTATAACTCTTAAGCCTCCCTCTAAAGAAAAGGCTGAACAGGTTTGCTTTAAAACCCCTTTAACAGGTTAGGGCTGACTAAGCTTAGGGTCTTTCAGCTGTGACACACCACGCACTGTATGTTCCGTATCTATCTGAGCCCACCTCTTCACTGCTCCATGGGACTTGGGGAGCAAGGCGAACCAACAGAAACATTAACCTTATGCTGCTTGCTGTGCCACACGTAACAAAGTCCTTTGTTTCTGATCCAAGAGTCTCATGTCTTCTCCAGCATCTGTGACCCTTTTCGCATGCAAGAAGTACAAAATCTCACACCCTTCAGTCTTTAACAGTCTCATGCAAATGTCAAGAGTCAATAACTCTCACTTTCTCATCTCTCACTGCACTTCAACTTCCTGTGGTTTGGCATGAGCCCCCAGTACAATGCTGCAGCTGTGTTTGCTGATGTCACCAAAGACACTCTGACCACAGTTCAGTGGCTATATTATTCCAGGCAAAATCTTCTGGACACACCCTCCTTCTGAAGTGCACTACTGTTCGCTTCCATGAGACCACGCTTTCCTGTCTGTCCTCACCGGTCCCTTTTATGGACTCCTGGTCCTTTAGCAGCCCCATCAATGACCTGCCTACCTCCCTATTGCTCCACCAGCCCTCCCTGGTGATCTCACTCACACTATTGGTTTTAGGAACCTCACGCACGGTGATGATGCCTTAAACTCTAGATCCAGTCCAGGCCTCTGACACAACTTACCCAGCCACCTGCCGAGCAGCAACACCTCCACCTCAAGGGATCCAAAAGGAACCCATCGGTCCCTGGCCCTCCATACCAACCACCTAATCCTCCCTCCTGCTTCCACGCTCTCAGTCTGTGATACAACCGGACACCTCATTGCTCCTGTAAGTCATCTTTGACCACTCACTGCTCCCCACACCCCAGAGCCAAGCTGTCTTTGAGTATTGCTTTACTCTCTATTTTAGGAATCTGTACCCCTAACTCTCACCACAGTGCTCCTACACTGCTGTTCCCTTTCAGGCCCCAATCATTCCTGCTTTGGGTGTGACTGCAATGTCCAGCTAACTGGGCTTCCTGCCTCCTTTCGGCCCTCTTAAAGCACTCACTGCATTGTCGCCAGAGTTATATTCCTAATATATAAATCAAATCATATCACTTCCCTGCTTTAAGCCTTTCACTTGCTCCTCACTGCATGACAATGTGAAGGTTATTAGAAACATGGCTTACCCTGCTCTCTGTTATATCCTACCCAACCTCCATCCCCCCCTCCCTCAAGGAGTCCTCCTTCTGACTCCTGTGGCCACTATCACTCACAATAGGGGTGGAGGGAGGAGGTGTCTCAAAATACTACTCACTGAGTGGTACTAATTTGTGTTATCCTGAATCAGGAAGTCCCAAAAATGTTGCATTAAACACTAGTCACATCTTATGTCTGCCTCAAACCTACCTGAATGTCCTTAGTTTTTCTTAAAAAATAATCTCACAGTTTGGATCAGGAGCCATATCTCTTCCCCATTATTCACTATCAATTTTGCTTCTTAATAATCCCTTTGAGAAATAAACCAAACTATTCCCTAAAGTATTGTAAGAAGTATATAATGTGTGTGTGTGTGTGTGTGTGTGTGTGTGTGTGTGTGTGTGTGTGTGTTTTAATTCCTCTTCTTCACCCTAACAAACCAATACCCTTGAGTGTCCACCAGGAGGCGCCAGGGGTATCAAAAACCTGCGGTACTTTCATGGCTGGAGAGGCGGCGGTAGATGCAGCAGCGATGGAACCAATTCTCTTTCTGAGAATCAGTGAGAGGAAAGGGAGAAGAGCTGCGTTATCTTAGGGAAACCATCGCTTTCCCCCTTCCGCGAGTGGGTAGTGTGTGGGGTGTGTGCGGGGCCCATGGAGAGACGCTGGTGGCGGCTGCAGTGGCAGCTGGGGCTCCGACTGAGGCTGCAGCCGACAGTAACCCGACCCCGCCGGCGTGGGGACTGAAGAGGCGCGAGGGAGAGCGGCGAGCTGCTAACAAAAGCCCTCCGCGCAGGGCCAGATCCCGGGACGTGCGGTAAGTGAACCGGCTCGGGACCGGAGCCGCAGGACTGCAGGAGCCCCTCAAATCCACCTCGCTGGGATACGGTGGGGGCGGGGAGGGGTGGGCCTCGGAGGGCATCTGGGGGCAGGTGTCTAAGCCTAGACTGGGGGTGGATGGTGCCTTTAGCACATCAGACTTGGAGGGATCGGGTGCATCTGGGAGGACCTAGGCACCTTCTTCATCCCCGGCAAACACGGGGGTGGTGGTGGTGGGGTGGGGGTGGCGTGGTCACAGCTCCCAGCAAACCCTAACCAAGAGGCAGGAGAAAGATCGATCACCCCCCCCCCCCCGCCCCCAGAGGCCTTTTGAGATTGAGGCATTTCTCTCAGCCCTTCCATCCCCTCTGGACCCCATGCCTGGGTCTCCTTTGGCAGGGAGAAATCAACCATAACTTCTTCCTTAGGCCAATGGGGTCTTCGCAGCAGGGCACTATGGAGGATGAACAGGCCTCTGCCTTTTTTTGTTCTTGAAAAGCGGCATCCCCGGTTGCCCGCCTAAGCTACAAACAAATAGGCTAATCCTCCCGGGAATCCTCCAGCGGCCTCCCTGCCCGGCTACTGCCTGCACCTCTGATTTTTTCATCTTAACTTGCAGCAGGAAGAAAAAGCATCTAACGGGCCAGACGCCCCGGGGAGCTTGGCCACCGCCTCTGCCCGCACTCCGGGGGCTCAGGGAGATTAGGCTGCTCGCCGTGCACCCGTACCCACACCCCCACCCTGGGCTGCCTGGGTTTTCGGGGCATCCTTATTATGATCTACGTCCCATGTGGCCTCTAAACCTCATCCCAAAGCGGCTTAAGTTGGGTTGTGATGGGATGGATATGAATGGGGAGGGGGGAGGAACTGCTCTCAAATGTACCCCGCGATTTCCCTCCATGTCATTCGCAGAGACCCCACAAAAGGACACGTTTCCGCTATGGTGGACCCCATACCTGGAGAGGAGAAGGCGGGAGCCGAGGCTGGAGGCTCCGGAGGAAACGGAGCCGCCGCGTCCGTGCCCCCTGGCGCCCAAGGAGCCGAGCAGCCCGCGGCCCCGTCGGCCTCGGCCTCCGCGACGGTGCCCCGCAAAGCTGAAGTCCCATGCGCAACAGAAGGCGGGCGGCGGGAGCAGTCCCCGCTGCTGCACCTCGACCTCTTCAACTTCGACTGTCCGGAGGCTGAGGGCAGCCGCTACGTGCTGACCAGCCCCCGCTCGCTCGAGGCCTGCGCCCGCTGCGCCGTCAAACCAGTGGAGCTGCTGCCACGGGCCCTGGCCGACCTGGTGCGCGAGGCCCCAGGCCGCTCCATGCGAGTGGCCACCGGCCTGTACGAGGCTTACGAGGCGGAGCGGCGCGCCAAGCTGCAGCAGTGCCGGGCCGAGCGCGAGCGCATCGTGCGCGAGGAGAAGCGGCGCCTCTTCACGCCCTTGGGCCACGCGGCCGCCGCGGCCTCGGCCCCCAGCGCGGGCAGCAGCAGCAGCTGCAGCAGCGCCAGCCTCCCGGCCTCGCCCGCGCCGCGTGCGGCCCGCAAGGCATCCTCCAGTCCGTCCCCGGCTCGGCCCCAGCCTCCGCCCCCGGGCTCGCGGGCTGGTAGAAAAAGCCACTCACTGGACTCACTGTCCCGCCGGCGTGAGGGCGCCCTCAGTTCTGAGTCCGGCGCGTCCTCATCATCCTACAGCGGGGAGAGCCTGCGGGAGCTGCGCTGGCCACCACGGGCGTCGGCCAGGAGCAGCTGCCCCGCGGGATCCTTGTCCTCTGCCCCCAACCCTCTGGGCCGCCCCTCTGCCCTGGCCCTCGTGCCGCTCACGGCCCGCAGCTTCAGCCTGGGCGATCTGAGCCACTCGCCGCAGACAGCTAAGCATGTGGAGCGCATCGTGCGCCAAGTGCGCGCCGAGCGGGGCCTGCGCGGGGTCCCGGAGCGCGACCGAAAGATCGCGGCGCTGATGCTGGCGCGACACCAGGAGGAGCGCCTGTTGCTGGAGCAGCGCGCCGCGGCCCACGGCCAATGGGAGCAGCAGCGCGTGTGCGCCGAGCAGCGCCGGGAGCGCGAGGAGCGCGAGAAGCAGCGCGCCCTGGAGCAGGGCCGTCGGGCCTGGGCCGCGCAGGTGGAGGAGCGGCGCGGCCGCCGGGGTCGCGAGGAGCGCGAGGCGGCACGGCGACGACAGCAGCAATGCGAGCTTAGCGAGGAGCGGCGCCGGGCGCTGGCCGAGCGCCAGAGCCTGCTGCGGCGGGAGCGGGCTGAGCGCGCGGCCCGGGAGGACCGGTTGCGCAAGCTGCAGCAGGAGCAGAACCTGAAGCAGCGGGAGGAAGGCCTGCAGGAAGGGCGCGAGCGGGCCGAGCAAGTCCGCCGGGAGCGCGCCCAGCGCGTGGCTTGTACCAAGCAGCGGCAGGAGGGCCAACTGCAGCGGGAGAAGCGGAAACTGAGCAGGGCCGAGCAGGCGCGCCACCGGGCGCTCCTTCAAGGCCGGGCCCGCCAGGAGCACGAGGAGCGCGAGGGCCTGCGGAGCTCCCTGGAGGCCAGCTTGGGTCGCGCGCAGGAGAACTACGAGCACTTGGTGGAGCAGCGTACCCGGGAGTTGCGGGAGCGGGCCCGGAGGGAGGAGCTGCAGGGTCGGCGGGCCAAGGAGGCGGCGGAGCGCAAAGATCGCGAGCATCAGGCGCACCTGGAGGCGCTGGCGCGGGCCGGCGAACGGCGGCTGCAGCACGCGACGCAGGTGGCGGAGGAGGCGGTGCAGCAGAAGGCGCGGCGCGTGGGACAGAGCCGTTTGGAGAAGGAGCGAGCCCAGCGTGCCAAAAAGGAGAAGGTGGAGAGGGACGAAGACTGCCGCCGGCGGGAGCTGCTCCAAGCCATCGGGCGCAAGCTGGAGCGCAGCGAGCAGCTGTCACGGGAGCGGCGTAGCGCGCTGGAGAGCGCACGCTCCACAGCCCGGGCCTCCTTCCACGTGCGCGAGAAGGTGCGCGAGGAAACCAACACGCGCTCCTTCGACCGCATGGTGCGGGAGGCCCAGCTAAACGCCAGCCTGGACCGCAAATGACCGACACCCGGCAAGGGCCAGACTGCCACGCTCAGCCCTACGGGGCATCCCCTTGGCCACTTTGACCAAACCTTGGGAGTCCTCCGTTGGGTCGCAGCACATACACCTCTCGAATTTTCCGACCAATAAGGCAATAAGAGGACTAACACGCCAGACCTGTCATCTCGAAACCTTTGTTTTTAAAAACTGACTTCGTACGGAAATGACAAAGCACAATCTTTGACCATATCCACCCATAGTGGGAGCTCCAGCACCGGCTTTTGCCAAGCTATCTTGTGTGTCTTTTTGGTTGGAATAGAAAAGAGCTGGGAGACAGGGGCTGGGTCGGGACTGGGGCAGGGCCCCTTGAGAGAGAGAGCGTGCAAGGATGATTGCCCCTTGATGCAGCAGTCATCCCAGGCACCTCTCATACATTGATGTCAGAGACCACTGCCCTTACTCAGCTGAGGCGGCATCTCCCTGGCTCCTCCATCTTTTAAAATATGGCAAGTTTCACAAAGCTCAGAGGCCACAGAAAAGCACAGCAACTGGAAGGTGTTAGGCCATACCCCAAGTGACCCCCCAAAAAGCTATTGATTTTTGTATACTTGACTTTGAATCTGCCACTAAGAGCAAATTCTGGTCTTTGTCCTGATAGATTTCTTTTTTTCCCCTACGTTTTCTAGTTAGACAATCACCTACAAATAATGATCAATTTGTGTCTTTTTCTCCCCTCTTATTCTCCCAAGTGACACACACACAAAAATCAGGTGATTTGGTAACGCTGTTTAGCCTTAGTGGAAGCCCCCAGCGCCTGGGGGAGGTGGGTTCCTTAGGCAGCAGTGTTCCACAGGATTAAGCGTGCTTGCAGGGTAGTTTCAGGGGAGGGTATGATGCCCACCTCTTGGTGTGGGGCTCACTCCTCACAGACAGCAGCCATGCCTTAAGAAGCAGTGCTACCTTATGTGCCTGCCCAGGCCAGTCCTGCCTAAATCTCCAGCCCCGGATGCAGTCCCAAGGGTTGGCCCGGGGAGTTTGGACTGTAGGATTCCCTCTGTGAAGGAATCATCACAATGGCTCTAAGGGCAATTGACTGTGGTGGCTGAGAGCTGGAATTGCCTCTTGGCTGTTGAGAGTTGTGCTCACTATGGTTAGCAGTGTATCTTCTCCTCTCCTCCCCCCTTTTAATCCCTCCTCACCTAGGACTGAAAGTATTTGATCCGTCTCTCTGTGCCTCACCTTTCCCACTGGCCAGTACTCTTCTCCTGGTACCTCAAGGCCTCCCAGATCCAAAGCACCACCTCAGTATTATTTGTTGGTCTTCTTTGTGCCTTTTTTGACCTGGAGTTAGGAGGCAGGAGGGCTGCTGTTGGTTTAGTTTGTTTCTGGGAATATGGATTCCTAGTGTTGGAAGGAGCAGTACACCACACACATATGATCATTTAGCCTCTGGGGGAACATGCTTGTAAGACCAGGCCGCTCCCTGGTCCAAAAAGCCCTGTTCGGTTGTCTTCAGGCAACTTAAACCCCTAGAGAGTTGTTTCCCTTCCACGAAGCCAAAATTAGCCCCCATACACTGACTCTGCCTTCATCAGGAAAGATTACTTTTTACATTAAATCAGAACCAGGAAATAAAAGTTACCAAAAAAAAAAAAAATCAGGGTAGGCATCTATCATGTATACTAGTACTCTGCTGGGCACAATTGTCCTTAAAATGTCTGGTATTTACACACACACACACACACACACACACACACGTTTTGTCATTTCCCCCAACCCTAATCACGTGCCAACAGGTACAGGAGTATTGCGCAGAAGGACGCTGTGCTAGGTGTTAGACTTAAGTTGTTATGAAACCAGGAAAGGATATATGCCAAGGTTTATTTCTTGAGTGGGTGAATTTTTCCTCAAATTTTCTTCTTGTCAATAACCAGGATGTCAGTAAGCTGTAATTATTGGCATTATCTGTGAGTCGGGGGCATTTAACTAAAATGTTGGTGTGATACTGGTAATTACCTTGTGGTTCCTGATTTGCTAGAGGGCTTTTGAAACCTTAACAGGAGGTCCTACCTAAAGCTACTTACTTCCAAAGTAGGTGCATTCATATGAGAAGACACAATCTGGTTTTCTAGATACGGCACCGGAAGATACATAGGGGATCTTACCTGGCCCAGTTTGTTTTCTGACTTGCTGAGTGACTGGGTAGATCACTTCTCTGTGCCTTGGTTTCACACAAACACTGTGAGGATGAGTCAGAATCAAAGTGGTGCTCTCAGTGCTGACTTTAGAACTGTAGGTACAGTCACTATACGGTCGTGACGTAGTACAGAGAGGAATGGTCTTGAAAAACATGTTGCAGATCATAGTGTCACACATGATGCAAAGGCCCAGATCCAGATATCACCAAATGAGAGTTTTACATGTAGAGAAAAAGCACTGTGTAAAGGAAAGAACTTTTGGATTCTTAAAAATAAATAAATAACACCATATAGCTAAGTGGCATTAAAGCAAACACAGAAGCCAAACCTAGTAATAGTAATGAATGGTTCTTCCAAATTTCAGATGATCCTCTAGAATATAGACTCTGTATATATCTCTGTATTCTGGAATAAGTGGTCATGTTGCTCTTTGAGGAGGAGCAATTTCCAAGATTCTTTATTGAGCCCTTTATTTATAGTCTTCTTTAAAAAAATATGTTTTTATTGATTTGAGAGAGGAAGGGAGAGGGAGAGCGATGGAAACATCAATGATGAGAGAGAATCATAGATTGGCTGCTTCCTCGCATCCCCCACTGGGGATTGAGCTTGCGACCTGGGCATGAGTCCTGACCAGGAATCGAACTGCAACCTCCTGGTTCATGGGTTTACGCTCAACCACTGAGTCACACTGGCCAGGATATTTATATTCTTTTTGAAATTATGCCAGAGAGGGAAATTGTTTCATATTCTAAAAACCAGCAAAAGAAAACTGGAGGTGGAGGTGTGGCAGAGATAATGGTGGAGAATGGATCTGACCATTGTAACAAGTGCCCAGAATTTGCCTCGGGGCACCATGCTGAAAGTTCTCACAATCCAGTTCTTACCACACAGCTTTGAAGTGGCCCAAGACCTTCACTTTTGCCCCCTTTGAACATCCTGTGAAGTGAGGTGAGGAGGAATGGAAAGTGTTGGAGGAAGCTTTCGTTTGGTTCATTACTAAAGACACAAGCGGGACACTTTCAGATGGAATCACACATGAAGCTAGCCCAGTGTCCTGCTCAAGCAGTGAGCAATACTTACACCACATCTGGACAGGAAGATGGAAATTTACTTTCGGAAGCACATGGACTTTGAGTCTTCAATGGGAGCAGTAAGCAGGACTTGCCAAAGGCGAACAGTCTGGTGTTTAAAAGGCATATAAGAATGCAGCTTGTGTTCATGCCATTCTGTAACACCTACTACTTATTCCCCCGCCTTTAAAAAGCCCATTGAAACACAGAGGTGACTGACTCTTCATAAGGAGCTATCTCTTGTTTACCATTAATTCCCCGGTAGCCCATGGTTTAGCAGCTCACACAGGGTAAGCACATAAATACTGGATGGAGAGAGGGATAGACGATAGATGGATGACGAACAAAAAAATGGTAACAGGGTAAATCTATATAAAATAGATCAAGTGGACAGGCCTCCATTCATTCAACAAATTGGTATTGAGTACCTGCTATGTGCCAGGCACTACCCTTGTTGCTGGGGAGACATTCTCTGATCATTGACCCCGGGAACCATTTACACTGCAATGTCGTGAGCCGACACCTTTATTTCCCCATTGGGCTTAATTACCTTCCCATCCTGGTATCCATTTACAGGCAGACCTGATGGTTCTAATTTCAAGCATTTTCACTTTCCTGAGAATACTCCATCTGCCAACCAACCATCATCTCGGTTGTTCTCTTTCCCTCAGAAGAACCTTGATTAATCAGATCAAATTCATAAGGTCTTGTACATAAGCTTTAAATTACAGTCAAAAGAGAGAGATTAATTACCTTCAAGGGCATTGGTCTCTGTTCCCTTTAGCAGAGGCAGCATAAATAATGACCATGGACCTATAGAACCATGCCTCAGGCTGTGCAGTCTCACGTCACCAAGATGGGATCAGTTCCATCATTCAACTGTTCTCGCTGAAACAAGAAACTCAACGTTTCAGAAGCATTTCCAGTTTTAAAGTCCCAACAAAAAGATTTCTAATTAACACTAAATCGAGGAAAAAGTTCAACGAACCAGAATATCCCACTTCTTCAGGCTTCCAGGTGATGGGGGTGACAGAGAGGTTGCTGTGGAAACTTGCCTTTTTTTTTTTTTTTCACCACAGGACGGCATCTCCACCCCTGACACATTTGGCAGAGGAACATAAGGAAACTTGGCATTTCTTGGCACAGGCTGGCTAGGGGCTTTCAGGGACCCAGCAGAAAACTCATAGTTCTGAAAATGTTGCTTCGGCCTTATCTGTGACACATTTGGCTTTGGGTGTCAGATGCAACGCCTACAGGATTACACCCGGTCATGTGTTTTGCAGAAGAGCATCTTGCCTGCTAACGTGTCTGTGCTCTGTCTCACGGAGCTCCCAGGCAGTCTCCACATGCGCCTTCTCCCAGCCCCTGCCTCCACCACACGCCCCCAGCCTGGCACTGCTTTGGTTTCTCATAGGTCAGGCTGGGACGGGGTGGAGTTAGTAGTGGACGTTAGGATATAGAAGGTGAGAGTGGTTTCTCTCTGAGGAACACTGGTAGTCATTGTTCCCAGTGTGATTCGTCAAATATTGTCGTGTCCCACATGAGCACAAAAACCTAGTCCAAAGCGATTTCTAGATTAGGTGTTATTTAGCCATGTTTGATGGCACTTTTTTGTCAGGCATCTGCACAATTCACCGGACGGGCAGAAAGATGATCTAGATCTACTATATTTGAGTGTGCACATGCACACACACACACACACACACCGGTAGGAACCAATCCCAGCATCAGCATTCTTGCAGAGGGAGGAAGCCTGTGGCCATCTTATTTACCTGGAGATAAGCTCTGGTAAAACTGAGCTGCCCCGTGATGGGGGTCCCTTGATTCACCTACCTCCAGCCCCAAGGCCCCTTCAGGCTCTGGCCTATAAGCCTAGTATCTATATTTCCCAAGTCCCATCCTTGAGCCCCAGGGGTGTCAAAGGCTTTTCATACTGCTGCTACACTTCTCCTTCCTTCTACTTGGTGTGAGAGACTGGCTGGGAAATGGAATTTCAAAGCCAAAATGTTGATATCCGGAACATAGTGTGACAGAATGCTAAATATCTACAAAATTCTGAAAGTCCAATCCATGGGGTCACCATACCTCCAAGGCAAAGCGTTTGGCAAAGGAGCAAGAGTCTTGATGTATTCAAACAATTACTAACTGTTCCACATGCCCCTCTCCTCATCTGTAAGATGGGGACAATAAATTCTACTGGGTAGGGAGTTGTTAAATGAGCTAATGCTTGGAAAGCAGCACAGTCCTGGCAGACAGCATTCAATCTGTGGAGACTGTTATTCTGAACTTCGGAGGGTGGAAAGGGAAGGAATGGGGTAGGTTGAACTTCAGCCAGGTGGTATTGGTGGGCACCAGGCTCAGATGACAGCCTTTTGTGGCTGTCTGTGTCCCTGGCTGTGTGGCATTCCCCCAGCCATTCCAGAGAAAGGGGCTCTGGAGTAATGGGTCCCCAGGAATGTGCTGTAGTCTGTGGCTGGGGGAGGGGAAGGGCGTACCTTGTTTACCAGACGTTTGGCAATAACATTGACATCTGATTATAATACTTGGAATGATGCCTAAAATGACAGGAAATTTCAAAATTTGCCTATCTTTCTTGGGGGAAAGATGCTGTGTTTCTGTCCTGGTGAAACCCAAATTCTATGGAAGCATCTTTAGCAGAACCAAGTGGGAGAAGCTTTGGGAGAACCACTGTTCTGGGGGCCCTAGTGCTGCAGGATGTGGCACCTGGCAGGGAATCTGAGATGAACAGCCATCGTAGCTGTGACCACATGGGAATGAGGAAGAGGGTCCAGGACAAGCCCGATGTGGGAAAGGGCTGATGGGCTCACCGTAGGAACAGATATTGGAGCAGGAAGGAGAGGTAGGTGTGCAGAAGCATCACTTCATCCTCAACAAATGACTTCCTCTGAGAAGGCCGAGAAAATGCCCAGCCTCCTTTCCTGCCACCCCCACCCCCAGCCTACAGACAGCTGCATGGAGGTCAGCTGCAGGACTGGGTTTGTAAAAGTCTGTTTTCCACTCTGAGGTACTGTACAGGTCAGCCGGTCCATGCTAGCTCTCACTGTGCATTGAGAAGTGAGGACACAGAGTCGGACAAGATTCCAGGAGCTCACCTGCTTTGTCATCTTTCTCTTCTCCTTGGATACCCTACAGGGAGGCCCCAGTGGACCTTAGAGGCTTCCTGAGCCCCCAGCAAAATAGTAGAGTAGGCAGACTGTGCCTCCCACAAACATATGCTTGTTCAAAGAGAACTTACAAGGTGAGCAAAACACAGCCAAAGGGAGCAATTTGCTAACGCTGGGATTGCAGGGCTAATGATAACCAATGTGTACTAAGCATATACATTGTGCAAATGACTGTTTTAAGAACTGAATCCTCACAAGATCTCGATGAAGTAGGTACACTATTATTCCCACTTTACAGGTGAGAAAATGGAGGCACCAAGTTTAAGTAACTTCTGCAAGTTCACACACCTAGTATTGGGCAGAACTGGGCTTGGACTCAAGTTAGTCTGGCTGTATAGCAAATGCTTATAACTAGTGTACTTGGTTCAGCCAATAGCTCTGGCCTTACACTGCAGAGTCTGCCTCCATTGCCACAGGTAGGTTGAGAATTCTGCCTGGGTTCCCACTTCCTGCAGCTGTTGGTGGCGAAACTGTACCAGGTATTACACCTCAGTTCAGCAACCTTGGTACTTGAGTTCTGGCTATGAAATAATTCAGATCCAAGACTCAAACTAGGAGAGAAAGTTTATTTAGAAAGTGACAGAGGTAGAAGAAGTGAGCCTTAGAAGAAATGGGTTCATAAAACAAAAGAAGGGCCCTTGGA